CATGCTGCTTGAGAGTCATGGTGTTCCAGGTGGGGTTCTTATACAATGTCACTGTTTTCTATTGTGAGCCTGCCATTTTGAAAGGAATAAGAGAGAAGGGCCTTTTTAGTTGCTGCACCAAAGTTATGGAGTAGCCTCCCCCAAAGGGCTCTGTGTCCTCCTTGCTTTGCCAGCTTTTAGATTTCTGAAAAAATAAATCAGGTGGGCTATTTATTACGGCCTCCATATGAAGCCTTCTGCCTGCTCTTGCTCTTATCCTTTGGGTTTTTGCTGGTACTTTTCAGTTCTGTACTACGCCTTGAGACTGCTTAGGTAGAAAAAGGTGAGACATACATGTTGACACAAATACAAAACAGCCTGAAAAGCTTTCCTGCCATGTCATCGGTTTCCTCACTGCTTTCCTGAAAGGACAACACGGTGGTCATTTGAGGTCACTGAGGTTCAAAATCTCTCATGCACTATTCAAACTGTTTTTCCTTTCAACAAACACAAATGGTCCTAACATGGTTTTCCTAGATGCTCCTTCCATTGACTTCCAGGTGGTGCCTGTTTCCAGGTGTGCAGAGAGCTGCCACCCTGGATACGCCAAGGAGGTCCAGGAGGGTGAGCCCCCGTGCTGCTACACTTGCACTCCATGCCCAGAAGGGACCATCTCTGCTCAGGAAGGTGGGTGACCCGGGCGTATGAATGCTGTCTTTGGGAAGGAAACCAATATCCTGGCCTGGATATTGTGGCCTGAATGCCACCTTTGCCATTTATTTATTTATTTATTTATTTATTTATTTACTTACTTACTATTAAAAGCTTTTCTATTAAATATGTTACACATGTCTCGGAATGGCTTACAATAAATATGTAGAATAAAATAGATCCCACAGCATCCCTCCATTAATGTACCAAAACCCCTATTAAATCAATTAAACAGTAAAATAATGGGAAAATTAAAAGGGTTTGACTTATACTGAATAGAATATAACATTGGCAGCAGGCAAACCTCTCTGGGGAGAGTATTCCATAGTCAGGCTGCTATCGCAAAGAAGGCCCTCTTCTGGGAAGTCTCCCTCCTAATCTCCTTCAAGGAGGGATCAAAGAGCAGGACCTCCACCTGATATCTCAAGGGGTGGGAGGACACATGCCTCACCTGGACTAGATGTAAAAGAAAGGTAGAGATGGGTGTCATTAATGTACTGGTGACTCTGCAGCCCAAACCTACAGATTACCACTCCCAGCAGTTTCATGTAGATGTTAAAAAGCATGGGGACAAAATGGAACCATGCAGACCTCCATGGCAAAGCTGCCATGGCACTGAGCCAAATTCTCCAGCACCACCTTCTGGAATCTGTCTGGCAGGTAGGAGTGGAATCAGTACAAAGCAGTGCCTCCAACTCCCAAACAAGCCAGTCTATCCAGAAGGTTACCATGGTCGATGGTATTGAAAGCCACGTAGGCACCCAGGAGAACCAAGAGGAATGCACTCCCCCATCCCTCTCTCTGCACAGGTCATCATACAGGGTGACCAAAATAGTTTCAGTTCCATAATCAGGTTTGTCACCAGACTTAAATAGGTAAAGTCATTATAGCAAGCTGTGGATGGTGCAATAGGAAACATTTGGGAGCCAAAATGGAATAGGCCATGCACCACCTTTGCAATTAGATGCTTTTTCTGAGTCTCCACACCACCTGCAGTTCTAAGCTCGTTGACGCCACCAACCCACTAATGGAAAGCTGTTCCTCAGAAGGCTCACCAGCTGCGATGGTGATCTGGTTTCAGGTGACGATGTTTCTGTTCTCCCAGCCAGTTGCTTACATGGAATAAGCTGGTTTTTATGGGTTCTCCCACATTTGCATGATGTCCCTCTTTGTTTTCTTTTGGTTATGTGTGACTCTTTTTCTTATAAAATCCCAAAAGTTTCTGGAAATATATCATTTCTTATTAATTTAATTTTTCTACTGCTTTTTGGGGAGTTCATAAAATCATCCTAGTTGATTGTTCAGGAAAACTTGTATTGAATGCTCTCTCTCTTTTCAGACGCAGAACATTGTACCAAGTGTCCAGAAGAACAGCATCCAAACAAGGACAGAACTCAATGTTTACCCAAGGATATAACTTATCTGTCCTATCAGGACACCTTGGGCATCGTTCTGGCTTCCTTTTCCCTCTTCTTCTCCATAATAACAAGTTTCATTCTAGGCATCTTTGTCAAATTCCTACACACCCCAGTAGTCAAATCTAATAACCGGGGCATCTCTTATGTCCTCCTGGTCTCCCTTCTGCTGTCCTTCTTGTCCTCCTTCCTGTTCATCGGAGAGCCACAGGTTGTGACATGTCTTCTCCGACAAACGGCCTTCAGCATCATCTTCTCAGTTGCTACCTCAAGTGTGCTGGCCAAAACCATCACTGTGGTGCTGGTGTTCCTGGCCACCAAGCCAGGGAAAGTGTTCAGAAGGTGGCTGGGAAAGAGCTTGGCCAACTCCATTGTCATTTCCTGTTCCAGTGTCCAGCTGGCCATCTGCTCCAGCTGGCTGGCCATGACTCCACCTTTTCCTGACTCTGACATGTTCTCCCAGCCTGGACGCATCATCCTTCAATGCAATGAAGGGTCTATCGTCATGTTCTACTCTGCCCTTGGCTACATGGGCTTTCTGGCTGCCTTCTGCTTCACGGTGGCCTTCCTTGCCAGGAAGCTGCCTGGGGCCTTCAATGAGGCCAAGCTGATCACCTTCAGCATGCTGGTCTTTTGCAGTGTCTGGGTGTCCTTCGTGCCCACCTACCTGAGCACCAGGGGGAAGTACATGGTGGCTGTGCAGGTCTTTTCCATCTTGGCCTCCAGTGCTGGTCTGCTGGGCTGCATCTTCATCCCCAAGTGCTACATCATTGTCCTTAGGCCTGAGCTCAACAGAAGGGAGCACCTCATGATGAAAACTAAGCATGGCATCTGAGCCTTAGTACTAGGGATGGGTTAGAAATCTGATCCTCCCATACTGCATGAAGAGCTTAGCTGCTGGTTGGGGAAAATAAGATGTGTGTCCAGGGCTTGTTGCTTTCATGTAACAACCCAGTTGAATGATAAATTCAGTGCAGTCTTCACTGTGAGGAGAGGGAGGATCTCTTTTTGATGGGGCATTTAACTCAATCAGTAAAGACGGGAAATGTTCTTCTACCTTTTTTCAATGTAATGCAATCATTCTAACATGCTATCTGCTGCCTGATGGAATGGATCCTCTTCAGTTGTTATTTCCATATTGTTTTATAGTAGTTTGTATTAATGGATCACGCACCACTTCGGTGCATGTACCCCGCAGGATGCCCTCCAAGACCTGCCTTTCACTCCCCTCCGCATCACCAACATTCGAGGGCTGTTCAATTGCTGCTGCTGTGTATTTCATTACAGTTACAACTTATCAACTTGAAAGAACAGCAACTATATTAATT